CCTGTCACACCGTCAGTAACACTGACAACATTCCAAACTGCAGAACAGCAGGGACACTAACACACAGAGTGTGACGTGTGTGTGTGTGTGTGTTTTCCGTACGACACATCATCAAGTAAGCTGTTGCTACAGCTGGAGAAAACGATTTTTAAACAGCAAAAATATGAATGGGAAGTACTATAGTTTAGAACACTAGGTAGACAAAAAGGAACCCACGAGAGTAAAGACTAGGTCTGTCCTATGCAGGTTAACAGCCTGGAGCCAGCAGTTTCTGGAACAAACTCTTTAGAATGAATCGATGCGTAATGGGGGGCAGCCTGCCTGACATCCGTGCTGTGCTCTCTCACCTCAAGCAGTGAGAGAATGACCCTAAGCATTACTTTGCAGGGGCTCAGAACAGTGAGTGTGGTTCAGTTACTCTGAAAGCCTAAGTTCTGAATGTTTTTTTCAGGGCCCATAAGACGACACCAGATGTAACTAATTTTTCTTCCCCATATGGATAAATTGGAACTCTAATCTAAAACCTCACTTTAGTCCAGATTTCCATTCACCATCTGCACACACACACACACACACACGGCTCATCTGACAGAAGTGAGCTCTCCTTCCCACTTAGATTTCCATGTCTTCCTCCGTGTACTCCTGGGAGTTGAACGGTCAGGCAACAGGCAGCAAAGCAGCAGACAAGCACATACAGCTTCAATTTTATAGGATGCCGAGAGAACCACAATTTGGATTCATGACAACATGAGATAATTTCCACTGTTTTGCATTATAGAGGAAAATATGTCATGTCAACAGAGTACAAAAAATCACACGAAACAGATGCACCCCAGCAAGGAATTCCATTTCCATTTTTATTGGACATATTTACTAAATCACTCACATTGCATAACAACTCATGCATGATTCTGATGAGCTGTTACTTCCTTTATATCAGCCTTTTCAGCTGATTTGCTTTCCTTGAGATGACACAGAGTGTCAGTCACCTTGGAAGGCTGGGGGCTGGGCCACCCGACCCTCCCAAAGTCAAGGTTAATTAAGTGGCTTCGGCAGCTCTGCCTCATCCTGGCCCAGAGACTGTCTGCTGGGGAAAGGCCCTCCTCCCTTTAAACCTTGCCTCGATTTGAAGACTGCTGCTCCCAAATGGCTTCTTGCCACTCGTTCCCAGTCCTTATGAATTCACTGCAGAGCCAACCCCAGCACGAAATCACTTAATAAGCATCCCCAAAGGGGACCCTCCCTGTCTGGTGCTCTGAGGAACTCAAGCTGAGGGACAGCTGAATTATCATCACCCCGAGGCTTGAGAAGGAGACTTCGAGATGCACGGTAGCTTTTGATTCAATAATGTGAATCCTTTCCCAGCCGAGGACTTCGTTTAATGCAGCAGCTTCTGAGTCATAACACACACCTGACCCTCGGACAACTAGGAGGAGGCTATGAGATGACAGCCTCGCCCACCACTGACGGGAGCAGATGGGCTCCGGGGCAAATTATCTCCCACTGATATCCTGTTGGACAGAAATGAAGCTGATCCATGGCAGAAATGAACAGAAGCATGTTCACTCTATATTCACAGCGTTTATGAAGAATGAAATCTCTTGCAATTCATTAATTGGGCCATTTTGGTAATTCCTGTGGCTCTTCCATTAAAGACAACTTTTAAAGAATCACACACACACACACACACACACACGTCCATGTAAATGAATGTTTTCTTCTTGCCCCTCCCTGACACGCACCAAGAGCCAATTTGTGAAAAAACTGTGGGCTCATTTTCATGCCACAAATCAAGGGTATAGTTTTAGCTTGAAGCCTGAGTTTGTATATTTTGCTACAAAACTGAGGGTGCTAAGCAATGTTGCATTCAAAAGATCTGTATTTTAACTTTTAAAATGAGTCGAATGCTACCCATTTCCCCTTGAAGGTCCTGCCCTACAGTTTCTTAAAGAAATCTAACAATGAGGATGCTGAACTCCTAGCACAGGGATGAAATTTAAATGACCAGGCACACTCCCAGGCAGGCCAAGGCCCAGGTCTGCAATCACCAGGATAACTTCTGGTTGTGGCAGCTGCCTGACAACAGCCAGCACTTTTATCGGGGCTCCCAGGCAGCCACAGGCAGAGCGTGAATCCCAAACTAACAAAAATGAGGATTTAAAAATTTACAAATTCAAATTCTCAGAACTGTGGAAGACTGAATTGAAAGAATTTTAAATGCTACACGCGAGGCTTAAAACCTTCCAGGCTTGCAGAAATGTGGGTGGAGAGGCTGCCAATTTTGGAGGGTTCCTACCAGGCAAGTGGCTCATCTAACCCTGCTGAAGTTAAAATATATAAAACACTTATTCTAGATTAATCAAGAGAAAAATCTGCATCTTCAGGGAATAACATTATGGGGCTCCTGGGAAACAAAGGCAAAAGCTCTAAACAGCTTGAATAGCTTTAATAAGAGAATTTGCATGTAACACAAAGAAAAAATTAGTTATGCACAGACCAAGGCAGTTAAACATGTCCTAGGATTAAAAAAACAAACAGCCAACACTTTTAAATGGAAGTTTTTGTTTGTTTTAGCTACAAATATTCAGTATTTCTTAGGAAATTCTATTTTTTAAAATCATATGTTTTAAATACCAAACATAAGATAACTTTAACATTTTATTAACCAGATCTCTTGAAAGCCTTAAAAATACCTTACTGTAGCCCAAAACTAAAAATAGGAGAACATGTTTTCAACCCAAAGGGAGAGCATAGTAACAGTTTTGTGTAATTCTATGGTAGCAATCAACCTCTGAGACAGATTAAAGGCCTTGATTTTCACCATAAGATTTACAAATCTTTAACTCTACCAAAGGAAGAAATCTTACTATATGGAAACAATTTCTAATAACTGGCCTAAAATTTATTTTAAAAGACTTTCACTTACATAATATTTTAGCTTCAAAGGTCTAAAGAACTTGCCTTCTATTATTTCCGAGTCTCATTTTCAATAAGATAGTGTTTGTCTTTGATTTCTTTGTACTCAGCCACTGAATGTGATTCTTGGCGCGCAAATGGATTTAATGGAACAGAACCTGTCAAGGCAGCAAAACCTCTCAGATATATCCCTGACCCGAGGCTGCTCTCTCCAGAGGAATTTCGGCTCCTCAAACCTTTGTTCTGTAAAACTACCGGGCAGATATAGCATCAAGGGCACAGGGAGGCAGCAGGTAAGCTAACTGACAGAAACAGACTTTTACAACACCGTGCAGGTGAACTGGAGGGGAAGGTGGCACACGCCCGTGTGGTCTCTAACGAGATCATTCAGAGCCGAGCTATCCAATATGGCAAGCACCAGCCTCGTGGAACTGTGGGGTCCAGAAGGAGTCACCCCCAAGATGTGCCTCTGGTGCGCAGGCTGTTTTCGGCTAAAGGCAACTTTAGCTTCAGGCTCAAGAGAAACTTCTGCCCCTTCCTTAACTACCTACAAGAGCTTGAGTTCGGGGCCTTGCCCATAATAAGAGATTATGAAGATCACCTCTTTTGACCCAGTTATAGGCAGGACATACTTCTATTTACTAAACATCTGTTCTTTCCATTCTCCCAATGACCCTTTGAAGCAATACTCATCCCTAGCTGAGGATGTCTTATATACTCAACCCCCTTTTCTATCTCTGAATCTCTAGTATACACGGGGTTCCCATACATATGTCTGTATTAAATCTGGTTATTTTCTCTTGCTAATCTGTCTCATGCCTGTTTATTAGACCAGCCAGAAGAACCTTGAGGGCAGAGGAAAGTCTGTTCCTCCCCCACATGGGTAATTAAATCTTAATTAATTAAGATGAAAAATTCATCTCCTCAGTGGCACCAGCCACATTTCAAGTGTGCCGCCGTCACGTGTGGCTCGTGGCTCCTGCTGTGGGCAGTACAGACAAGGGCCTGCCATCGCAGGAAGTGCTGGGGGACAGAGCCGGTTTTACAGGTGGAGGACAGGAGATAAAACAGAAAGTCTAGTTACCACAGAAAGAAGTTTAGAAAGTAGAAATCATATCTCGTTACCTCTGAATAAGAATTTCTTTTAGGGCATGAAAAAATTCAAGCGAATATCTTCAAGTGCCCTTAACTAAGATGTGGGGTGCTGATGACACCAGGAGGGGTTATTTAACCCTCACCTTATTTAATCTTCCTAAGAACAGCAGGAGGTGGGCCATATAATAATCCCCACCTTACAGATATTAAATGAGGCTTAGAGAGCATGTGACCTACCCAAGATTGCACAGCTAAGCCTGGATTCCGAGCGTACGCTCTCTCTGGACCCACGGGAACTTTTGGGATGGAGATGGAAGGTGCTCTGGATGCTCCCAGACACCGTGGCACACAGGCGGGCCAGAGCCTGAGGTGTGGCTTGTTCCTAATTAGAATTCTTTCTCCTGGTGGCCTAATCGTTTCTCGATGCGGAGCATGAATCTTTCTATTAATGATGGAAAGATGCCGCTTCCTGTTCCATTCCTGCTCCTGCTCCACCCACCCACCTTGAACTTTCCGAGTCCAGCAGCTTCTTTCCTGTGGTTCCCGAGACGGTTTATCAGAACACCTCACACCCGTCCAACTGGAAAGTGGGCACCACATCGAGTGTGTCTGATGTTCCCGTGTTCCTTCAGACACACAGGTTTTAATCTCTTAAATGTCGTTAATAATCATGACTTCACATTAGGAAAGGAATTCGAGCAGTGCACAGAGAGTAGTGCACTTGCTAAAGGCTGATCTATGATAAGAACATTTCCTCTTAGACAGTCTCCCTGGTCCAGGTGAACCAAGCGGCGGCTCTGCAGCTTAGTGTATAATAGCTCAGCTTTTACGTGGTCAATGTCCCGTTAAATTGCTTAGAAGATGACAATTTATCATGTATTATACACTAAGAGCTTTTAGAGCTCTTTTTAAACTGCTCTGACGGTTGATAGGCAAGCGACTTTGTCGAGGACACCCATGCCCACATTTTCTGGCCCTGCCACGCCTACCTGCGGGGCGAGCCATCGTCATGGGGCTGGATGATGACCACCTTCACGGTCATGGATGTGCGCAGCAGGTCGATCATCTGCTCGTGGGTCAGAGTGGCCACGGCCACCTTGCAGATCTCCACGAGGCGGCTCCCCTGGCGAAGGCCCGCCTTCCAGGCGAAGCCGAAAGGCTCCACGTCAGCAACGATTCCTTCAAAGTTCACGTGGAAGCCGAGCTGGCCGAGCCCGTTCCTCCTCAGGGTCATTTCCACAGTCTCGCAGCCTCTGGTCACTATCTAAGAAGACAGCAGACTATTAGAGATGCCGCTGTGGGGTCCCCATGCCAGAGGTGCACACGCAGGCCTCTGTGCCCCCTCCTCCCTCAGCCTCACAGCCCTTCCCTTGAACTGTCCAAGTGACAAGGACATGTTTCAATCCAGAGTTCATGTTTCAGTGCAGAGTTCCCCATCATTAACCGTGGCATCAGGCGCAAACACAGTAACAAGAGTTAAACAATGTTTTCATTCTTCAAAGGCAAATCCATCCCTGATATAGGTGTCCTGTTTGTTCTTAGAAGCCCGTGACCTAGAGCTTTTGAGTCTAAGACGGGCTCTGATAGTCTCCTCCCTCCTTTCTCGTATCAACAGACTTGGCTCTTAAGCATAGAAACCTCATTGCTCCAGATGTACTGTGCCAATGGAAAAAAGGCTCTTGAAACCATTACAAGTTTCACCTGTCAAACGTTAAAACCTATCAGACAACTTCATTCACCTTCAAAGGGGCCCAGAACACTTCCAAGCTAACACTGAGCGACCTGTCCCCAGGATGGACAACAGAAGGGGTCAGAATGTTAGGGAAGCTGGGAAGCTGCTCTGACCAGCCCTGGCAACACCTGGTCGGCCTCTGGGACCCCTCTCCTGTGGACAGACTGCCCTGCTTGCCTGGGTGCTGAGGACAGTTCAGCTCTAATGTGCCCGGCCAGCCAAGCTCCGTGGCATCTGCCACCACGGTGGTGCTCCTCCGTCAATCAGGCCATCTCTTGGGGGCCACGGCAACCCCAAGCTGTGGCAGCTCCCAGGGTCTGACTTCCCCAAGAGTACAGTACACGGCAGGGTCACAGATAGGAGGTGAGAGAACGAGGTTTGCACCCCACTTGCTACAGCACCAAGACCTGGTCAATGCCACCCTCAAAAGTGCTTCCTGAGAACAGCTTCCACACACAAGAAGAAAAACACAAGTTTATTTTAAATATCATTTGGGCAAGGTGCCACTTATTTGTGGGAAATATAAAGTTGGTGGGATCGTGCCCGTATTCCCCACTCACAGAGCTAAAGCGCAAAGGTTCAGCTTAATAAATGCTCCATTTCCATGAAACATGGGTTCCCATGTAATAGACCTGTGACTGCAGGTGCAGCTGTGGGGCTGGGGCTGTCTGAGGTTTCCATGGTGACCGCCACGGGGCACACAATGCCATCAGCGCCTCAGACACATGTGCCAATTGGGGGAAAGGGACCGCTGGTTGGTCTCAGTTACTGGTGAGGTTTTGAAAGATTGACGTTTCCAAAGTTATGACCTGACTCATTTAAAACTGCTCAGAAAGTACTTCTGTAATTAACATGTACAACCCGAATACATTTTTCCATCACTTTTTTTTCAACTTTGTTTCAACTAAGCTCTCCTGCCAAAGACAACATGTGACACGTGCCCACCTCCTTTCCAATATTAACACAATTTCCAGTTCAAATTCAACAGCCACCCCGCAGACAGAGGGCAAGCTTCCTCGGAGTCCTACACGCCTGTCTCTTCCCCTGGTTCCCTCCTGCCTCCTGCCACCTGCCACTTCCCTGCCTTTGTTCTTTTGCTACTTCTTGCTTCTCAACGTTCACAAAAGCTGGAGGACCTGTTTTCCATTTATTTGGAGTTCCTCCCATCCTCACATGGGCTCATGGTGGCCTTCTGTCCATGCACCCAGGACTGGCCACATACTTTGTGTGGCCCGGGGCAAAATGAAAATGCAGGGCCCCAAAGTCAAAACTTGTTCAGAACTTCAAGATGGCAACAGGAGAGGACCGAGCCAAGCCCAGGCCTTTGAGAGTCGTCCGTGTGACCAGGAAGCTGGCCCTGCCTGTCCCTCTAGCGTGCTCTCACTCCCTTTCCTGTCTTTACCAGTGGAACAGACGCCTTTCATTTCCCTTCCCGCCACCACAGAAAGCACATGAGCTTCCATCTGCGGAGCAGCGCTCACTCCCAACACCACACGAGGACCACACGGTCCTCTCTCTCTCCATTCTGTTCCTACTGCTCTGCACCACTCTTCAGCTCTAATCCAGCAAGTCTTTGGGGGATTTGTCCCAACATCTCCTGTAGCAGGTCATCCTAGAAAACACAGAACTCCTCATATATACTCCAGACGTCAGGCACCTGAGTCACATCAGCGAGAGTCACCTTCCAGGGAAGTGGCAGGATGGGGTCCACGGAACAGTGAATGCGTAAGAGCCCACCGGACATGTGTTTCAGGGGGTAGTGCAGTGGCCTTTGTTTCTGTTGTATTTTCTGGAACACAGACTAGGGTGGCTCAGTGGATCTTCTAAGAAATACATGCAATATTCCCGAAAGCACAGAGAGTCCTGAGACTCAAGGGGATAACTCGATTCTCCAGACATATAACCTAATCACATATTCCATCATCCCCAAGTCACCCCGAGGTTTGCGCACACACAGCCGATAATACCACTGAACACACGGAGGCCTCTTCCTGTAAACAGTGCCTGCAAATAATGAGGTTATTTCTCCAGGACTGGCAGACACGGGCTGGAGTGTGCTGTCTCTTGCACATGATTTCAAATAGCAAAGGCTGGAGATTTCTATTTGGTGGGAGGACAGGGACAGGACATGGGTATAATTTCTCCTTTATTCACGATCCATAAATGACTAAATCTTCTCTAATGAAATAGACAGCCCCTTGGGGGACAATTTACACACAAGCAAGTCTTTTGCCCAAACATGTTTTGTTCTTATATTTGATTTCCTCTTATAACTCTATCATATATACTCAAACTCAAATCTGTATCTTCCTGTGTTAAAACTTGGAGCAGAAACACAACTGTCCAACCCATGGACATCACTGAGGGGCTTTGTACTAAAGAAAATATTTTTAAAAATATTTTATGACTTATCTGTGTGTGTGTCTAACTTAATGGTAATTCTTTAAAACCTCCTTAAGAAATGGTGGTTGGAGGATTAATAATATATTTAACCTGGCAGCTTAAACAAAAACACCTGCTGTATGTGTCGACAGCGACTGTGTGCCACTGAATCAACCTCTACGAATAGACATACTTTCTAGACCATTCTCCTGTTTTCCCTCAAATACTGTAACAACATACCCTGCTGTTCCCTTTGGAAAGGTGGCTTCACTTTTCCCTTCCAACCAAACTGTAACGGGCGCTTCTCCACCATTCATGTACCAGCAACAACAGAGCCTTTACAATCAAGCTCTGTAGCCACAGGAAATAGTAATTCATTCCCAGGTGCCACAACCATGGTGGAATTTCCACGGTGAAATCTGGGGCTGAAGCCCTAGGATGGCAGGAAATACAAAACCTATACTTACCCCCAGGCGCTGAACAATTTCCCGAATGTCCTCGGTACAGCTGTCCACCGAGGAGAGCAGGATGCACTCTCCTCGCTCATAAAACACTTTAATGCTCCTTAGACCGGAGGTCCACCCAATGACGTCCCTGCAGGAACAGTTGAAGACCACGTTCTTGGAGTCCTTTTCGATCAGCATGATGAACTCGTTGGAAATGCCAAGCAGACACTCAATGTCAGCGGCCTGGCCGAAGTCCCGCGCCACCACGTGCCACATGATGGCCCCGACGCTGGACAGGTGGGCGTCCCTCCTCGGCTTGACCTTCTCTTTCTTCTTGGCACCCAGCGTGATGAAGCTGAACTTCACAGACGTATCCACGGTGGCCGTGGTGACGAAGTTCTCCGCCAGGTCTTTCAAGTACTCTTGCCTCGTCCGGGTGGCCATCGCTCGGAACTTCTCCGATTTATGGGCTGCGTTTTCCGCGTTGATGACTTTGGCTAAAAGGAAGTCCCGGAACACTGCTGACTTTGGGAAAGTGACACCTTTGGGAATCGGTGGGCCAAATGGTGGCACGTCTTTTGATCTAGAGACTCCAACGCTGAGGAGGAAAGAGAGAGACGGGATGAGCTGTGATGGTCCAACACTTCCCTTCGGAAAANTCTAGAGACTCCAACGCTGAGGAGGAAAGAGAGAGACGGGATGAGCTGTGATGGCCCAATACTTCCCTTCGGAAACCTGACACACACCGCACTTTCGGCTCAGCCAGCTATTGTATTTGCAGCTTGTCCTCCTCGTTTCTGGATACCAAGCTTTTATTTATTTGTTTGTATTTAAGGGAAGCTTCTCAAACCTAGTAGATTAGGGGGTGTTATGGGCTGAGTTGTACCCCCTCGAGATTTGTATGTTGAAGTCCTAAACCCCAGCGGCTGGGAATGTGACATTGTTTGGAGACGGGGTCTTTAAGGGGAGTAAGTGAAAACAAGGCCATGAGGGTGGCCCTTCATGCAGTCTAACTGGTGTTCTTACGAGAGAAGATCTGGACACTCAGAGAGACCCCGGGAGAGAGGCCTTGGGAAAACCAAACCTGCCCACACCCTGATGTGGGTTGTCCACACTTCAGAACTGTGAGAAACGTGTCTGTTGTTTAAACCACCTAAGCTGTGGTAGTTGTCACAGCCGCCCAAGCTGACTAAACAGGGGGTAAGAGATCCACAGAGGAATGGGAGACGCAGGGTTTCAGGAGGTGCCAAGCTGGCACTCTAACTCTGAGGACCACCTGTGCAGGTGACAGCATGTCTTGTGCACGTCCAGACATGCACACTCGCCGGGCAGCACGGTTTTCATCAGAGGAGGCCGTCGCAGCCCACCAGCCTCTGGACCACAGATCTGCACTAAGTGGCACTGTAGGTCCTCGCCGGCCAGGCCCCCTTCCTCAGCATATGCACAGAGCTCACGGGAGAACCAGTGTTCGTGGGGGTTCGCCTGAGCCTTGTGTGATCCAACTAGTCTCTTTGAAATTGCGGGTTAAGACATCGCAATTTAGACAACAAGGGACCTGGACTATGTTTTACCATTTCCTTGGGAATTATTTAATGCATTTATTTTGCCCCTGGTAAGTTTAAAGGAGCAGCATATAAAACAGACTTATAAGGTGTTTTCAGAAGATTTGGGCGTTGTAACTTTATTCCATGTGACCGAGTGAATGTGGCCTCATAAAATTTTCCCGAACTGATTAGGCTACAGTATTCCAGAGACTAGCGTTGATCGCTGAGCAGCACTCATGAGGTTTTCAACATGATCAACAGGAGTGTTCATGAGGCAGCTCCAGAAATGGGAGGCACTCTACTGACTTCACGCTGGAGTCTCACTGGTCAGTGATCATTTAGCGACAGTAATGTGGCTTCTTAAAGACCACCGAGCCCACCTGTGAGTGGTTTGCAGACGCCATCCTGTGTCACAGGAAACAATGCAATCCACTCTGTCTATACCTAAGATCTATAGCTACACCAGAAACATCCCTCCCTAGTAATTTGATTAAAATTTTAAAAAACCTGAAAATATAAAAATACATATTATGTATGTTTAGGATTTTTGTGCTAATGAATCCCCTCATGATGTAAGCACAAACTAAAAATAGAAAGTAATACATTATCTATTCAAGCATAATGTTTATACAGAATGGATATTACACTTTTTTCCTTTCTTTTTGGAGCGTTAGTGAGGGGACCTGAGCATTAGGCTGGTGGTGTTTTACTTGGATAAGTATAAAAATCGCCATGGGAGGAAGCCAAGCAGGTGCCAGGCCTGCTGCGTTAGCGCACAGTGGGGCCAGAGAACCACTGAATTTAACAAGCTGACTGTGAGGCAACAGGCAGGCTAAGAACTACCGGTTTACAGACCATGTCTCTCAGGAGGGCTGGGCGTGGGCTGGGGATGTCAGCTGGCATCTAAGGTACAGACTGGTTTCTCTGTGTTTAGGAGTCTTCACAGGCTCCCCCAGGCTCCCACGCCCACGCTGTGTGCCCCACCTCAGCCCTTTGGCAGTAAACTGGCAATGACTGTGTTCAGATTATTAGGGAAATAGCCTGTGGTGAGTGCCAGAGACTCTACAGTTGTTCTGCATAATTTCTGCCATTTATTCTTCATAACACCACCCTGAAGTAGGTATTATTATCCCCACGTTTAAGAGAAGGAATCAAAGGCTCCTAAAAAAATAATTCACACCAAGCACTAGAACCCATGTAAGATCTTTCCGTGGCAGTGGTTTCCTAAGAAAGAGATATCCCTTTCTTAGGAGGAAAGAAGCAAAGCAGGCCTTGTCGGAAATAGCCTGGGGATTCTGAGGCCCATGTCCAAGGCATGTGGCCCAAGGCATGTGGCCCGAGGCCCGTGGACGGCCAAGGGAAATCACCAAGGCAAGTGGCAGCTCCTGGTTCCTGGCCCAGGGGGAGTGAGGTTCCCGGCCCCGGGGGAGTGAGGCTCCCGGCCCCTGGGAAGTGAGGTTGCCGGCCCTGGGGAGTGGGGTTCCCAGCCCTGGCAGAGTGAGATTCCTGGCCCTGGGGGAGTGGGGTTCCCGGCCCTGGGGGAGTGGGGTTCCCAGCCCTGCAGGAGTGAGGTTTCCAGGAGCCAGGGCTGGAAGCAGAGTTTTGCCACTACAATAATTTCTTCTGCTTAAGAAGAACTGAATCGGCCACAGCATCCCCCTCCAAGGCTGGGAACAATTAAGTTATGGTTCCGACAGGGGCTGGAGGAAGTTTTTAGAGGAAAACAGAGGAAATGTATAATTTATGATTCTGAACTGCTTGGCATTTCATTTTTTCAAAAGTGGGAAGGCGGCAATTATTTCTTACAGAAGAAAGCACCTGAGTGAAGGCAGTGGGAAATATAATTAGGAAAAGGGATAATTATGGGGTTAAAATAATAATTGGAAAACAGAACCACTTGGGCAAAGGTTCTGTTGCAATAACCCAGAGCAGAAGTCGGGTGACTGACTCACCTGTAACACACATTTTCGGTGCATGGGTTGTGCACTCGGACGATGACAAAGACGTGCTGAAAGTGGGACCGGATGCTCTTTGGAGTGAAAGGAAGTGCTCCAGGCTCTTGGAAGACAATGGTCACGATGTCATTTCCTATATGCCTTTTCCTCAGAAGCTGCAGGAGAGAAGTGAACACAGACCACAGTTACAAATGAGGTTCTCTGTAAAAACAAAACGCTTAAGTGCAAATAATCCCCTCGTCTCTCGGCTTAGCGTTGGTTAGAGCAGCAGGGTCCTCCGTGGGAGCCAGTGCTCCTGACAGGACAAGACATGCAAACGGGGCTGCCTCCTAGAGACCTAGGGAAAGGAGTCCTAAATTAGGTCTGTCTCCTGCAACTTGTACTCTCCTCTTCTCGATCCTCTGTACCCTAAAATGACAGCACGCTATGGCTCAAGATGCTCTGAGGAACTGTATGGGGTAAGCTCTTTAACTTCCAAGGAGACCGAGTCCTGCACTGTGGTGCTAGGGCCCTGTTGCTCCCACGGTAACATGAGTTTCTGCCACAAAAACATACAACATTGTTACTGTGGTGGCTAATATGTTCAGACTAATAAACTGAAATTTGGTATTTTAAATGTAATTCAGAAACACAGAATGCCATCAGATTAACAGCTAGAAAACCCAATAGTATGCAATCTTTTATAAACGTGGCGGGAGAGGAGGAACCCAGAGCAGTAACATTTTAACATGTGACACCCATACTCCTGATGTTCTTCTATTGAGACTGCCTCTTTCACCCCAAGTTCTTCTCAGACAACTCGGGTCTCTGCTTAGCTATCACCTCACCTACAAGGAGCAGCCTCAGCAAGCCCAGGTCGGCGTCCCGCCCACACACCCAGGCCCATCTCAGAACATGCTAAGTGTTGGTTTATTTCTCCCGCATCAGGTCTGGATCCCGTGAGGCAGGGGAGGTGCCTCACGGCCTTTGGATTCTCAGTTTCTAATGGCCTGGCCAGGACACAGCAGTCACCCCCCAAACTTGCTAAATGTGTAAACAAATGACAGAAGTATAATCACAGTCATAACACTGCCCAGAAACTGACCACCTCTGAATACATGCTGATAAATGCACATACGGGGGGCCTCTGTAAGTTCATGCCTATAACACCATCGAACCCGTGCTCACAGTCTGCGATCCAGTTTTAATGATCCAACAAGCCTCATGTAAGTGGAGATGTCAGCGAGGGGTGGGGCAACCTCAGGCAGTAAAGCTCTTTACTCTCAACAACAAAGAGGGCGAGCTTGCCCTGAAGTTTATTTGGCACCAGCAAAACACACATCATTTACTGGGAAGAGCATTAAGTCCAACGTTTAAAGCCTTTAAAACCAAGACACAAAAGGGTTTCACCATCAGGCCCCTGACTTGTGATTTCACACAAAAGGAGGCCTGGGACAGTGGGAATAAAATGTTCACTTTATGCCAGTTAAATTGCTGACTCATAGGTTGGAAACAGGAATTTGAATCCCCCTGGTGAAAGTTCTAACACATGAAAATCACTTCACTGTCAGTGAAGTTTTGAAACATATATTAATCTATATTAATACAAATCTAATGAGTCATTTGTATTTTAAAAAAATGTTTGCTAGACGTTTAAGTCAAATGTGCCACTTTGGATGCATGTGAAAAATCAGGGACAAACTCGGTCCTGTTTGCTGTGCTGTCACTAACCCATACCGCAGGGGACACAGGTGGTAACCACAAAAAATAGTTCATGTGGAGAAAAGAAAATGGAAGCAAAGTTAAGTACCTAAAACAACCATCAGTGGAAAAGCTGAAAAAATTGTACCAGGCTAAGATTCCCTTCCGTTTCCCCAGTAACTGAAATACATGATTCACATGCACAGTAACAGGACAGGGGAAGTTTGGGAACAAATGAAAACTTAAAAAAAGTAGCTGAAATACATAACGTTGTGTTCAACGTACTTGGTGAACACGGGACACAATAGCTTACAGTGCGCTTGACTCAACATCCTTGAGACACAGGAATTCTTGGATTAATGAACAGAAGGCGGGGGCTGTGGTGGCTCCCTCCTGCCCGAGTGACTGTGTGATCGCTGGGCCGCACTTCACCCGGACAGGCCCGCTCGGGGGAAGGTGCTGGGCAGGTGTGGGCTCACCAAGGGGCTGCCTCGCGGTGACGACTGTAACGCGGACANGAAGGCGGGGGCTGTGGTGGCTCCCTCCTGCCCGAGTGACTGTGTGATCGCTGGGCCGCACTTCACCCGGACAGGCCCGCTCGGGGGAAGGTGCTGGGCAGGTGTGGGCTCACCAAGGGGCTGCCTCGCGGTGACGACTGGAACGCNTCTGCTTAGCTATCACCTCACCTACAAGGAGCAGCCTCAGCAAGCCCAGGTCGGCGTCCCGCCCACACACCCAGGCCCATCTCAGAACATGCTAAGTGTTGGTTTATTTCTCCCGCATCAGGTCTGGATCCCGTGAGGCAGGGGAGGTGCCTCACGGCCTTTGGATTCTCAGTTTCTAATGGCCTGGCCAGGACACAGCAGTCACCCCCCAAACTTGCTAAATGTGTAAACAAATGACAGAAGTATAATCACAGTCATAACACTGCCCAGAAACTGACCACCTCTGAATACATGCTGATAAATGCACATACGGGGGGCCTCTGTAAGTTCATGCCTATAACACCATCGAACCCGTGCTCACAGTCTGCGATCCAGTTTTAATGATCCAACAAGCCTCATGTAAGTGGAGATGTCAGCGAGGGGTGGGGCAACCTCAGGCAGTAAAGCTCTTTACTCTCAACAACAAAGAGGGCGAGCTTGCCCTGAAGTTTATTTGGCACCAGCAAAACACACATCATTTACTGGGAAGAGCATTAAGTCCAACGTTTAAAGCCTTTAAAACCAAGACACAAAAGGGTTTCACCATCAGGCCCCTGACTTGTGATTTCACACAAAAGGAGGCCTGGGACAGTGGGAATAAAATGTTCACTTTATGCCAGTTAAATTGCTGACTCATAGGTTGGAAACAGGAATTTGAATCCCCCTGGTGAAAGTTCTAACACATGAAAATCACTTCACTGTCAGTGAAGTTTTGAAACATATATTAATCTATATTAATACAAATCTAATGAGTCATTTGTATTTTAAAAAAATGTTTGCTAGACGTTTAAGTCAAATGTGCCACTTTGGATGCATGTGAAAAATCAGGGACAAACTCGGTCCTGTTTGCTGTGCTGTCACTAACCCATACCGCAGGGGACACAGGTGGTAACCACAAAAAATAGTTCATGTGGAGAAAAGAAAATGGAAGCAAAGTTAAGTACCTAAAACAACCATCAGTGGAAAAGCTGAAAAAATTGTACCAGGCTAAGATTCCCTTCCGTTTCCCCAGTAACTGAAATACATGATTCACATGCACAGTAACAGGACAGGGGAAGTTTGGGAACAAATGAAAACTTAAAAAAAGTAGCTGAAATACATAACGTTGTGTTCAACGTACTTGGTGAACACGGGACACAATAGCTTACAGTGCGCTTGACTCAACATCCTTGAGACACAGGAATTCTTGGATTAATGAACAGAAGGCGGGGGCTGTGGTGGCTCCCTCCTGCCCGAGTGACTGTGTGATCGCTGGGCCGCACTTCACCCGGACAGGCCCGCTCGGGGGAAGGTGCTGGGCAGGTGTGGGCTCACCAAGGGGCTGCCTCGCGGTGACGACTGGAACGCGGACAGCTCTTCCAGCCCACTTCCTTCCTCCGGAGGGGGGACGGGCCCATGTCCATGCCCCCCCATGGCAATATCAAAAGCAAAGGTTAAAGGAAACTTAAGACTAGTTACTGTGACAACAGTCACCCCGCCTGGTCCCTTTCTAAGCACATTCTTTTGCTTGGTAAGGTGGGCCCAACGTGTTTTTAAAAGTCCGGTAAATTTTTAACCATGGTCACAAAGAGCACTTTGTAGAAAAAACTGTGTGTGTGTGTGTGGGGGGGGGCAAGGAGGGTCATCAGGAAGACAAAAGTCTAAAACTCTTTCAGGAGAAGAAAAATTAACTCCCTGTCCATTAACAGGATGCTTGAATCTGATTAGAGACAAGAAATGTAACATCTGGAAAGTTAACCAAAACTTTCTTGACCGTTGGCTAGGATCTCATCAGATATGCGATAAGTCATTTCTAGGACTTCTCACAAAGGTAAGTGATTTCTTTTGTGGTTAGTGCTGTTTTTTCCTAACTGATCGGTGATATTTTGCGTAACCAGAGACTGGAAATGGGAGAGGAAAGGAGTGTCGACCCATAAACAAACGCAGCCAGCACACCAGGAAGGCGGCGCCCCATTACCCTGCACTGTGAGTGGGAATCAGGAGCAGGAGGTGACACCACTTGGGCTAATGTCTCCTTTTCAACTCGAAGCTCGCAGCACTTCCTTGGTGCCCAGAGAACCAACCCAGTGTCTTCCACAGTAGGAGTGAGTCAGGAAATATGGCATTAGACAGACTCGCATAGTGAGTTCTACAACATCACCAACACTTGATTCAAGCTGTGAAACCGAAATAAGCTCTTGTTATGACAAGGAAAGTGAAAATGTGATGCTTCACGCAACTCCATGGCAAAAGGCACACAGACGCCCCAGAAACAGCACCTGCGGGTTGCTCTCCATCCCCTGACCCGCCATCAGGGCCTCAGAGGATTGGCTGTGAAATGATACAACAATCAGAACCGAGTGCAAACAAGAAGCTGTCAGGCAGCCACACGTGGACCAAGGTGGCCTGAAGGTGAACTAGGCAGATCTAGGAGCCTCTACGCAAATAGAGTCACTTGTTAATTTTTTAAAAACCTAGCAAGATAGAACAAACGCAGTTTGTGCCTAATTCTGCAGGGGAGAGGGAAGCAGTTGGGACGTGGGGCAGGAGTTTCTAAGCATCACAGTCAGAGAGGAGAAATCTCTCGGATCGGGGAAGGCAGACCTCCAGAGAGCTGCTTGTCTTAGAAGCAAATATGTAAAGATAAGCACGATTTCAAAGAGAAGCCTGCATCGTTTAATGATTACAAGTTCTGAAATTCAAAGAGATGAGCTCAGAACAGGCAAAAAATTAAATGCATCTCCATGAAAAACAATCCCAAGTTCTGGACCCTAGTCCTTGGGTTGGAGTCA